CCAGCAGATTATCTGCCGGAATTTCTAGTGAAAACTTATAGCCAAAATTTTTGGCATATAAACTGTCGATATTCATGACTAAAAAATAATGCATCATACCACTATATTCCATCGAAAATCTACTAGTAAGCTTGCCAAAAATATTTTTCAGCAGAACTATGCCATTAGAAAAGATTTCAACATGTGTTTTGTCATTGATAGATGTTCTGCCGGAAATCAATCTAAAAGGCAGATTTTTCGGTGGAATTTTGCTATGTCAGGCGGATTTGGATCGCTAGTAAAGTACGATTTTCCTATAGTGACATTTCTTCCTCTACTACTATATTCTAATAAATATATCTTAGACACTGCTAGCTTAACCCATTCTTTCGTGTTGCTTGCTCAACTCATTATTTTTTAGTAGCTTTAGAGGACTTAAATCAACCTTATGCCTTATTAGCATCTCTCGTAATGTAATAAGAGATGATATTTTATACTTCATTTAAGAAGAATTCTCTTTGAAAGAAAGGGACCAACTTATCCTTCGCCCATGGCTGAAGGAATATTTATTGATTTTTAATGTATTTCTTCAACATTTTATTTTAGTGGGATTCAAATTACATGCAATTTATTCTTATGATAGAGAAAGTTAGGTTGTTTAAAAATTTTCTTTAACAAAATTTTCATTTTGAGATTTTTTAATAACTTAAAACAAACCATGTTATCACCCAACATGGAGGTAAAATAATGAAATAAAAATATAACAATGGTGATGATGAGTTACTCAAATTAATATATCATTAAATAAAAAAAAATTAGCATGCAATTTTAAGAAAAGTAAATCGTAGAAAAGTAAAATGCAGAAAGTAAAATCAGAATGAACACACGATAGTTTTATAATGGATTAGTCAAATAATGACCGACGTCTACGTCTGGGAGTGCTTCTCTCCGAGTTTTACGCTAAAACTTTAGTGTCTCTCCTTTAGGCCCCATAGCTAGCTGGAAAAGCCCTTATAATCTTTTCATCAATCCAGTGCGGCGGAGAACCTTGATCTCTTTTTTCACCCTCCTCGTGAAGGCTGATAACTTTGCAATCCTCTTTTACCACCGTGGTGAAGGCAAAGAAACAAGCAATCTTTTTCACCATCCTGATGAAGGCAAAGAACCTCTACAATCTTTGGGCTAAAGTTTTTCTTTCTAGAGCTACCAAAGAAGTCAAGCAAGTCGTTTGGAGGAAACAATGCAAAAGCTTGCTCGAAGCAACCATATGAAATTCCCTCAAAGACAACCTCTCCTTTATCATTCTCAAAGCTCTCCAATATCTCTCTCAAAGCACTCTCTAGAAAACCCAACAACCAAAAGACTTAGAACAAGCTGATTAAGGAGCTTAAATACAAGGCTTCATCGAAACCCTAATAATTCAATTCTGTCAACACTGATTGCACTATACGATCACAGATCGTACAATAGAATTAGTTTAAAGAGCCATGTTAGTATTGTATGAAGAATAAGATGATGCACGATCACTTTAAGTATTTTAGTTGATCATACAATACGATATAAGGTATCGTCAAGTATGAGTGGTTTAATCGAATTAGATTATCGTCTTGTATGATTGATGGCAATTAATTATCATCCCAAGCTGTAATTGAATCATACAGTACTATTGGTCAAATCGTACAGTACAATCTAACTAGATCAATTAATCCAAATTTGATTCCCATATTATAAAAATGTATTAGGCAAGATTTGATTATATCATATAATACGATGGATATCATACAATACGATTAGTTCAAGAAAAAAAATTAATACTTCTAATTTTCTTACTCCAATGTGTGTGTTCATCCACCAAATAAAAGATTTTGACTCAAGAAAAATAGAATTAAATAAAGGTAAAAATACAAACTCTTAAAGAACCTTAAACATATTCTACTCAGTTCTGAGTTTATCACTTTGTGCAGTATACACTGAACCTGAAATGTTTATGGACAAGAAAAAAAATCCAATAATATTAATAACATGAGATGATTTAGAGACAACCTAATAATATTTATTATCATCAAAATTACAAGACCGTGATCCATATTTGCAACAAATAGGACCTTAAATCCTTATTTGCATATCAACCATTACAGAACCATTATGCATTCTATAAGCTTTTGATATAATTATTTGTCATATATTTCTTGTAACTCTTAAAATATAAGCTTTCGCATGATTTTACTCGATATATAGTAAAATTATTAAGACTTTTATTGATTTCTTGAAGCTTTGATTGAATAATTTATTTTCAATTAAAAAATCAACAAGGACTCCTCCAATCTTTCTAGGATTATCCTAAATAAGGTAAAGGCTCTTAAGGAGTACTTTCAAAGATTATATTTTGAAGACATTAAATTTTGGGAGTGGTTTTTTTTTTCTATGGTCTTTGTCATGGATGTTATACTCCCAATTAAATATATTTAGATAGCAGAGATTAGACATCAAAACATATTTAGATAGCAGAGATTAGACTTTGACACTTTCACATTTCATGGTAATGCTCAATAAAAAATATTTTTAATTGAAGAAATAGATTGTTTGATTCATCAATAACAATATATAGATCAATAGCCTTGAAATAGAGGATATAAAAAAAAAGTTATGCTGAAAATATTCATGAAATTATTGAATAGAAATGTCATCACAACCTATTTGCCACATAGGAAGATTTCATAATTGAAGAAACCTAAAGAAGTTAAGAACCTCATTAAATTTTTTAAGAGAATTTATATTATGTTTTTTATTTGAGATAAAATTTTATTTTTAGATATTATAAGAAATTCAATGAATACCGATGGAATTTTCGGAGGCAAAATTTTGCCAAAAATTTTGATGGAAATTCTGGCAGAATTTTTACCGAAAATTATCAGTAGAGTTACCGTTGGAAAATTCATTGGAAATTTTGCTGCCAGATATTCCATATGAAATTGCCAGCGGATTTTTTTCTTTGGAAATTCCGTTGGCAATTTCTTACATAATTTTTTTATGTTATTACTTGATAGATTTTTTTGCATGAATGTAATGTAATTTTTAACTAAAAATCAGTCAGAAATTCAGCCAGAAAAGTCCCTATTTCGTCTCGAACCACTCTTCCTCTTCCATTTCACATTTTTTTCTCCTCCAACCAAAACTCTTAGCCTCTCTGCTGCACCTCACCCTCCAACTTGATTTCTAGACCGTTTTTTCTATATTTATTCAAATTTTGAAAGTTAAAACTTCATCTATTCAATCATTTTTTTTTAGTTGAGCGACTTAATTAGAAGACAAATTTATTTGTGTTTCTTATGGATCATTGTTATCTTTATATTTAATTTCCCGTTTTACAAGGATTCTTCTTAAAAAAATACTATCATTTTTTGAGAGTAAGATATTTCCATCATTTTTTAAAAAATTATTTTCTCTTTAGAAACTTGCAAAATTAAGTTATTAGTTTAACTTATACATCTAATGATTGCTTAAGTATTTTCAATTCTCTATCTATAGTCATTTAAACTAATGAAAAGAACAATCAGATTCATTTTCAACCTCTAATTTTTTTTTTCAATTTTTTGGAATAGTTTAATAGTGAAACTTTTGGCAGAAAATACATCAAAATTTTTCAACGGAATATTCCGCCGAAAATGAAAATTCCGACGTTTTTTTTGCCAGTTAAATAGCAATTTTTTGTCAAAAATGCATAAAAAATCATTCAAAAAATTTTCCAATGGAAAAGTTCATTGGAAATTAGTTTCTCACTCGCATTTTATTTGTAAAAAAAAAATTCCATTACAAATGCTAAATTCGATGAAAAATGACCGATTTCCGGCGAAAAAGTTCACCGAAAATCCATAATTTTCCTATAGTGCAAGTAAGTTGATATCTAAATTATTGATGAAACTTTTTTTTTTTGTTGCTAAACAATATTACATCTAATAAAAACCCCATATGTTATCCTTATAATGGGAAGCTAGTAGTAGATATAATCCTTATTTGAAAGAACCAATGATAGCAAGTGATAGATAGGTTCTCCACTCATTCTAACTAGATGGCACACCCATGACATACATAGCCTTAATGAAAAGCTAGTAATTGATAGTATTTTTATTAAAACGATATCATGAGAGCAAGCAATTAATAATGTCTCTCCACTCATTTAAATATCTTAGAAAGCATAAACCTTTAAATGCACATATTTCATTATTTTTTATAAGTTCAGAAGGTTAAAAGCCTCACAATATACAAATTCATTCAATTATCTAAAAACCACATAATACTAAAATTCTTTAATATATAGATTTCTCTAACTCTCTTAAAATATTTAAAATATTAAAAACCTTAGAAAATATATATATTTATTCAGATTCTCAAAAAAATATTGGAGGTTCAAAGCCTCAAATGTACATTTTTTTTTTTAATTCTTCAAAAAACTCACTTGGTTAAAAGTCTTTTAAAAGGTACATATTGTTTTTGAATCTCCAAAAATCTTAGAAAGTTATCAGCCTAAGAATGTTTTTTTTTTTTTTTTGGTTATCCAAATATTTTAGAAGGTATATATTTTTATGGTACTTCATAAATCTTTAAGGTTAAAGAATCAAAGGGTATATGTTTATCTAGATTTTCAAATACCTTGGAAGGCTAAAAGCCGTAGCAGATATACTATTTATATTTATAAAAAAATATTGAAAGATATAAGCCTTTGAAAATTCTTATAAACTAAGGGATCTTGGAGGGAAATATCTTTAACTCAAAGATTTGACTATGATATACAAGATATCTAGTATGAAATGAAGATTTCAAGTATGTCTCAAATATTAGCAAACGTTCCCTCTGTTCTATTGTATTTACATTATTACCATTGTATTCATATATATAGATGTCATGTATAGATTAACTATTTTCTTCTCTCTCTCTCTCTCTCTCTCTCTCTCTCTCTCTCTCTCTCTTCTCTGCTTAAAGAGTTTTTGGTTGCACCTCTCTCATGGTATCAAGATCCATCAATGGGGGATAAAGAATCAGCCAACTCTCTTCCTCCCTCCTCCTCCACCCTCTCTAACACCTCCTCCACCATTCTTTCCATACCAGCTCCACTCAAATTTCTAGTCTCTAACATTAAAAATCTTGTTCCACACCCTCTCACATCCGACAATTATGCTATATGGTGGATGCAAATTCTCCAACAATTCTCCGCCAACGGCTACGCTGGCCATCTCAACGGGGCCACCACTTCTCCCACCGACGTTGCATCTACCGACTATACTCGCTGGCGTCTTGTTTACAACAATCTTCTTTCCGCCCTGTTCTCCATGATCTCTCAATCTATCTTACCGTATATCATCTCCTCCACTACCGCCCAAGATGCTTGGTCGGTTCTTGAACGACGTCTCCAACCCACCAGCCGATCTAGCATCATCCAACTCAAAAACAAACTTCATCACATCCAACTGAGGGATAGTACCATGCAACAATATCTTGCCCAAATAAAATTCATCATTGATAACATTGCCTTCTCCGGATCAAAAATCGATATGGAAGACATCATTCTTTACATCCTTAATGGGCTTCCACCCACTTATAACTCATTCAAGACTACTATATGCACATCTCTTCTCCCTATAGACCTTGACAGCTTCTATTCTATTCTCTGTAGCGAGGAGATCAATCTCCAACAAGAAAATCTTAAAGAAATTTTGGCAGGTTTGGTGGCAATAACCCTCTACTCATCTTCCTACTACCAATCCTGCGGACGAAATCAGAAAAGATTCTTCAAGAACAAGAACTCGCCGGCACCATCCAACAATCCTTTAAATCAGTCTGCACCATCCGCCTCCACTGCTTTCGCAAGACCAACCTACCAAATCTGTGGTAAAACTGGTCACATTGCTCTCAATTCCAAGCATCAATATATAAAACTTCAAGTACGCTCCCACTGCTTCAAAACCACCACGTGCTCTTCTTTCCCATCTGACTGCTTCCGTTACCGAAGACTAGGTTCTTGACTCCGGTGCCTCCACCCATGCATCTCACACCGAACGAAAACAACCTTCAATTACACGCTACTTAAAACACGGGCCTAACACCATGTCTATTTCCAACGGGTTCTCTCTCTCTATTCAAAATTTCGGTCAAGGCCTACTTCCCTTACCCTACACACCCCATAAGCTTCGCCTATGTAATCTCCTTCATGTGCCATCACTCGCACACAATATTTTTTTTTTGTTTCTAAACTAACATCTGATAATTATTTTTCGATATGTTTTGATGCTAACGGATTTGAAATTAAGGATCTTTAAGAGCAACAACCGCTTCTTGATGGGCATCTTCATAATGGTCTCAATCAGATTCGAATGTCTCCCAACACCTCTCCTACGGCTCTCATCGCAAATACCACGTCATCTCAACTTTGGCACGCCTTCTTAGGCCATCCAAACAATCATCTCCTCTCGATTCTTGCTTACAGCATACCTGAGCTCACCCTTGTATCACAATCTTTTGTGTGTACTTCATGCAATCTGGCCAAGAGCCACAAGCTATTTTTTAATAAAAGTCTTTCTGTTACTTTTACACCATTTGATTTAATTCACTATGACATCGGGGACCCTGCACCGCTAAATTCATTAGACAGATATAGATATTATATTATCTTCATTGATGACTTCACATGTTTCTCTTGGCTTTACTTCATGCATTTAAAATAAGAAGCTCTCACAAAATTCAAATTATTTTGCAATCTCATTAAAACTCAACACCACTGCACTCCCAAGATTTTACGCTCCGACGGTGGTGGAGAATTCACTAGCAATACTTTCAAACTCTATCGACAAGAATTTGATATCACTCATCAACTCAGTTGTCCTCACACTCCCGAACAAAATGACTTAGCTGAGCGCAAACACATGCACCTTCTTGATCTTACCTGCACTCTCTTACACACATCAAATCTTCCAAATCAATTTTGGGCTGAAGTGCTCTCCATAGGTCATTATCTTATCAACTGATTCCCTTCTAAATCCATCTACCTCCAAACTCCTTATCAACGTCTTCACGGGAAACCTCCCATATATTCTCATCTATGTACACAAATTTGGATGTCTCTGTTTCCCTTGATTAAAACCTTACACGTCAGAAAATTCTCCTCTCGGTCTCACGAATGCATCTTCTTAGGCTATTCCATCCTTCACAAAGGATACAAATAATTCAATCTCACTTCGGGAAAAAC